GCCGCCCCTCGCCCTCCCGCGTGCGAGGGGAAGTGCCGCCGCATCGAAGGACAGAGCGGTTCGGCAGCCCCTCCCCCTCCCCCCCTCCCCCTCCTCCTCCTCTCCTCCTCCTCCTCCTCCTCCTCCTCCTCCTCCTCCTCCTCCTCCTCCTCCTCCTCCTCCTCCTCCGCCTCCGCCTCCGCCTCCTCCTCCGCCTCCTCCTCCTCCTCCTCCTCCTCCTCCTCCCGCGCCGAGGGGGTAGGTTTGGAGGCCTCGCGCGGCGCGCAGTGGTTGCATTATCCTTGTCCGCACGTCCGCCATGGGACGACGTTCGCGCGGCGATGTTCCGACGTAAGTCCGACGTAAATCCGGCATGCATCCTGTGCACATCGACGCAATCCGGCGTGAGCCCGTGTCCCTCACTCCCCCCTCTTTCCCTCCCTCCCTCCTCGCCAGGGATTGCTGAAGACAAACACGGATGGGGGGTAGAGGGGGAGGACGGAGAAGAGGGAACGAGGGGGAGGAGGTGGTTAGTGTGGCCGCTCACTGGATCAGACAGGGCGAACCAATATCATCATCGTGGCCATTGGTGGGGAGTCGGCCGACCTAGGTGGCCCGCTGCCGCTGAGGGAAGACACGCTCAGGAAGAAGTGTCTGCAGGAGGAGGAGGAGGAAGTGGAGGAGGAAGTGGAGGAGGAGGAGGAGGGAGGAGGAGGAGGAGGAGGAGGAGGAGGAGGAGGATTCTCTTGGCGTGGCGCTGGGCCTCAGAAGCCGCCGCGCGGGGCCTCCGCGGGAGAGCTTCCCCTCGGGAGCCCTGCGGCGGCTGCTCCGCGCGCGGGCGCGGGCGCGCGCCCGCTCCCGCCCCCCCCCTTGCCGCCGCGCCTCGGCCTCTCCGTCCTTCCCTGGCATCGCTCGGGCGTGTGCCTTTTTTTTTTTTTTTTTCCTCGGCGAGGGCCATCGAGGAGCATGGGCCATCGAGGAGCATGGAGCCGACAGGGCCCTTTCCCATCGCGGACTCGGCCTCTCTGTCCTTTCCTGGCATCGCCCGGTCGAGGCGAGTCTCCAGAACCACGAAGGCCTCGGCCATCGAGCCAACAAAAGCACGCGCGACATCGGAAGACACGCCCGGGGAACGGACGTCCGAGCGATGGCGAGCTTCTGTCTTGGCCCCGGCAGCTGTCGGATATACCAACCGGCGCAGCACCGTCGGCGGCGAGCGACGGGGCGAGGTGACAAGGAGGCGGCCCCCCGAGAGGGCGGCTTGGGCTTCGCAGAGGCCCTCCAGTCTTCTCAGAAGCTGTCTGCGTCTTCGGGGATGGCTTAGACAACTTCTCAAGAGGGCCGGGGGACTTCCGAGCCTTTGAGAAGGCCCGCCATTTTTCGCTTCCCCCCCTGGGGCGCGCCGCCGTATACAGTCGAGCATCTGATGAAGAAGCCTCATCCTGAAAAGCTGGGCCAGCGTTTCTTCGCCAACCTGCTAGAAAGCTGGCCCGGTTTCTGGAGCACGTTCTCCCCTCCAGCGCCAACGACAGGCTTTGACCCAGGCTTGTTTCACGATATCTCCGGGAAGCTGGCCCAGATGTCTTGAATGATAGCTTTCATTTGCTTCATCACACTTTAGGTTGTGAGCACAAGCTTTCGGACCTCCGTCTGTGCTCATGCAGCTTCTGTTCTACAGGAGCCCTTTCCAGGCGGCCATGCGCAGGCAGGTGCGTCGAAGTCGGCTGGAGGGTGGAGTCCCTCGAAGCCTGGCAGATGTTTCTTGTGATGCCAGAGAGCAGCAGGGAGGTATGTGTGTGTGTGTGTGTTGGGTGCGCCTTCAGCCCAAATCCGCTGCGCCGCCCGCCAGGGGGGTGGGATGCGCAATTCCCCCCCCCCCCCCCCGTGGCCCCCGCCACTTCGCCTGTGGCCCCCCGTGGAGAAGAATCATCGGAAACTGGAGCATGTACATGACCAGTGGCGGGCCGTTTTTCAGTCCTGAGATTTTTCGAGGGTCGGGGACTACGTGGGGGTGGTGTGGTGTATACTTTTTTCCCCATTTCCCGGGGAAACAGCGAAACATGTATACACCAGGATGCCGTATACACCAGGATCCGTTTTCCTATGCGGATTTCCATCGGGGTTGAACAAGCGTCGGTGTATAGAGTTCGGCTCCTTAAATCAGCTCGTCCCACTTCCCCTTTGCGACTTGGTTTTGTCGAGTCAGTTTGGGGGGTAACTGGGGCAGGTGGGCCTGTTTGGTAAATCAGATCCGTTCGGCTATCCCTCTTGGTTGGGACATTGGATTTCGCGATCGGTGAAGGAGGATGGGGATGAGACGGATGAGGAGGGTGAGGAGGAGGAGTAGGAGGAGGAGTAGGAGTAGTAGGAGGAGGAGGAGTTGGAGGAGAAGGAGGAGGAGTGGCTGCAGGGTCTGCAGTACATATTTGGATCGCTTGTACCAGAACGTATTTGGATGAGTTGAGCGACGCATGCGATCAACGCAATTCCAAATTGGGTATGAACGCATGCGACCAGCACCAAACGATGATGGGAACATTGGCAACGCATGGTAACGACTTTCACGGGTAGATAGTACTTGATGTAGCAAGTCATGGCGGTTAATTGTTAGTTTTGGACTTGATGACACACTTAGAATTGAACTGCCACGAGCAAGACGGCCACAAGCCTCTTGGACTCTGCAAGTGCATCGGCGTCATTAAGAACAATGCGATACGTGCATAGTCCACGTGCCGGCATGACATCGCACGACTTGTTCAGCAATCCTCGGTGCCCAGTAGAGGGGTCGATGCGAGTGTGCTTCGTGTGCCGTTTTCGTCGAAGACGGGCCTGGCAACAGCGGGTGCAGGTTGCCTCGCCCCAGGCCAGAGCCAGTCCGCAGCCTCGGCTCCCTTCCCCGCTCGGCCTCGCTTCTTGTCTTTCCCCCTTTGTGCCCTCGCCCCTGTCCTCCCTGCTCCCGGACGGTGAATCATCTACCCCGCTTTCGCTCCCTTCCTCCGCCTCCCCATCCTCCTCCTCCTCCTCCTCCTCCTTCGCCTTCCTCTTCGTCTTCCTCACTCCACCTCCCTTACCGTCCACCGTGCTGCAGGTGGGCAATCGAGGCACGGTCCCTGTAAGGGGGCTGGTGCCCACAAGTCAATCGTTTTCGAACAGGTCCTCTGCCTCATCCTCCCCCGTCTCCTCCTCTGCCCCGCCTCGTCCACCTCCTCGTCCCCCTTACAGTTCTTCCCTCGCCTCGCCGCAACTTTCTCGGGTGCAGGCGCCAGACGTGTGGTTTGTGACCAAAGATGCCAAGGCTCCGACCGCGTGGCGTGCAGCGGAAGGGGGAGGAAGAGGAGGAGGCGGAGGAGAAGGATGATGATGCTGATGATGATGAGGATGATGATGTTGATGATGGTGATGCTGGTGATGATGTTGCTGCTGCTGATGATGGCAATGATGATGTTGATGATGATCGTGATGATGCTGATGATGATGGTTATGCTGATGCTGTTGTTGATTATGATGATAATGCTGTCGATGATGATTATGATGACGGTGATGATGATGGTGATGATGGTGATGGTGATGCCGATGGTGGTACTGGTGATGGTGATGATGATGGTGGTCATGCTGATGGTTGTGGGAGTGGTGAGGATGATAATGCTGATGCTGATTACTACTATAATGATGATGATGGTGATGCTGATGATAGTGAAGATGATGATGATGATGATGATGATGATGATGATGATGATGATGATGATGATGATGATGATGCTACTGATGATGATGAGGATGATGATGATCATGATGATGATGCTGCTGATGATGATGGTGATGTTAATGATGAAGGTGATGCTGATTATGCTTATGATGATGATTCTGGTGGTGGTCGTGGTGGATAACGATGATGGTGACGATGATGATGATGATGATGATGATGATGATGATGATGATGTGGCTGATGATTATGCTGATGCTGATGTTGATGATGCTGCTGCTGATGATGATGACAACGATGATGATGATAATGATGATGATGATGGTGATACTGATGATGATGATGATGATGATGATGATGCTGATGATGCTGCTGATGCTGCTTCTGATGATGATGGTGATGATGATGCTGATGCTGATGCTGATGCTGAGGATGAGGATGAGGATGAGGATGATGATGATGATGATGATGCTGATGATGATGATGATGATGATGATGATGATGATGATGATGATGATGATGATGATGATGATGATGATGATGATGATGATGATGATGATGCCTGCTGCTGCTGCTGCTGATGGCGACGGCAAGCGGGAGGAGGAGGAGGAGGAGGAGGAGGAGGAAGAGGAGGAGGAGGGGGAGGAGGAGGATGAGGAGGAGGAGGAGGAGGAGGAGGAGGAGGAGGAGGGAGTCGAAGCTGCTCTACCGTGTGGTAAAGCTGTTGGGAGATGAAGGAGCTGACCAATCACCAAGGTTTTGGGGGGTGAAGAACGACCCCTTGGGACCGCAGGATGAGATCGAACCCTTTGGAACGCACCGGCGTGATTACTCACTCTGATGAGTAGTGTGGGCTTCCAGTAAGCAATCGGGGCCAAGAGCTTGCTGCCGGGCCAACCCCTGCGGCGTGTGGGGGCCGAAGAGCGGCTCCACACGTTTCGCCTGGCGATGGGTAGATGGGCGTGCGGGCGTGCGAGAGGCTGTTTCGCGGGACACGCGCCAGGAGGAAAAAGGGATAGGAGGAGGAGGAGGAGGAGGAAGAGGAGGATGAGCAGGAGGAACCAGGGGCGTCCAAGAAGAGGGTCGGGACCAGGGGTGTGTGGATATCATTGCCAGGGTCATGATATCCCCCAGATTTCATGGCCTACCCTTCCTTGTTTCAACACGCCCCTTGGCCCCCTCCGGGGCCGCGGACGTGCCTCGGGCCATGACTTGCCATCCCCCCTCTTGGACGCCCCCCCTCCCAAGGAGGAGGCCTGCTTCTGTGATTGCATCCGCTCAACTTGGCCTGCTTCCCGCGTGCTCAGTGTAGGTGGAAATTCTCGAACGTCTCTCGGTCCCGACCGCGCGGCCTAGGAGGCAAGGAGGAGGGATGTGGATGAGGAGTGGTGACCAGCGTGAGCCCAAGCTGCATCAACGATGCTGCGATCTGCTGGCGAAGCGTTCCGCCAGCCGGAGGCCTGGGTCACCCGCGGTCCGCTGGCGAAGCGGTGCGCCAGCGAGGCGGCCTCGCGCCCTCCCCCCGGCACAGGAGGAGGAGGAGGAGGCGGAGGAGGAGGAGGAGGAGGAGGAGGAGGAGAAGGAGGAGGAGGAGGAGGAGCGGGAGGAGGAGGAGGAGGAGGAGGAAGAGGAGGAGGAGGAGGAGAGCAATTCAACCAAAGGTGCATCATCGATGCTGCGATACACCCTCCCGTCCCAAAGCCCCTCCTCACAAGTCCCCACAGGTTGTTCGCTCCCACTGCAGGAGGCGCCCCCCCTGGACAGACGAACGCCCCATGGGCTTGCTGGGTAAAGCAAGACCCAACTTTGTCAAGGACCCATCTTCCATCCGTCCAGCTGTAAGATTAACTCGGGCCTGTCCCTCTATAGGAGGAATATTCAAACATAGTCAACAACATAGTCTGGGGACTATTGTTTGAGTATTTGTTTGACCATTTTAGAGCATTTTTTTATGTTTTCGTCCAAGATCTCCCTGTATATGGGGGACATGCCCGACCTAACTGCAAGATGTGCAAGGAGGCAGGGCCATGCTGTCCAAAGGAGCGTCCAGCGGTAGTTCCGCTCAGACAAGAAGGTCAGCCTTCCATCGGTACGAACGCTGCACAGTTTCAAAGTTCGCGTCGGAAGGTTTGGAGACGTTTGAAACAATAAACCCATTAAGCAAAGGAGCCGCCATCCATTGGTATAGCGGCTCAATTTTGATCGTCGGGTCATTTCGTCAGAGGCAGTCTCTAAACGGGAACCCAACTTTGAACACGAGCCACCATCCACCCGTGCACCAGTTGCAAGCTTCAAACACGATTGTGCGCGACGCCAAGGCGAAAGCTCCCTTTTCCAAATCATCAGTGCCCGATTCGCTTAACTGCTGGAAATGTTTAAGACGAGTGGTTTCGGCGCCAAGGCGAGATCTCCATTTTGCGAACCGCACCACTGGTGCGTCATCCTTGCACGCGTTGCAATTTCAGGCTTCGGGATCATATATGGTGAGGTCTCAGGCGAACAGCCCGTTCAACCCTCACGGCATGTCTGGTGGCGAGATAGGCCGTTCTTCTTCGCTGGGGGTCCTCTTCGCTGGGGCCCTCTTCTCGCGGGGCTCTCTTCGCCTGGTGGTCGCTTGGCCAGGGTCCTGTTGGCTGGGGCCCTCCTCCTTCGCAAGGGGCGGGGGCTTCTCAGAGGGCGGTAGCCTTTCTGAGAAGACCCCAAGGCTTCGGTTGGGAGGGCTCTTCATCTGACGAGCAAGGAGCCCACTGCCTTCCTGGAGCCTCGACGCCCCCCCCCCCACCGCCTCCCTAGAAATCCGCTCACCCTCGCGCCAGTCCGTGTGCGCCAAGCCCGGGGAGGGGACACGCCCTCTCTCCCCGCGACGGAGAGAGGCCGATCGATGTCCTTCGGCTCCCAGCGCCAGGCATGTGGAGTGGGCAGCGCGCACGCTCTGGCGACGACGCTTGTCTTGCTCGGCCAAGACTCGGCAGCCTCCACTCTGCTGCTCGAGCATAGGCCTCCACGCAGTTCTGCAACTTCATCGTGTGGCTTGTCTTCGTCTTCTTCCTCCTCCCCCTCCTCCTCCTCCTCCTCCTCCTCCTCCTCCTTACGAGGACTCGGCAACCTCGGCTCGATCCTCGCCTGCTCAGCGAGTTCGCACCCGTCTTGGTCAGCGGCCGCAAAGCGGACAGAGGCGGCGGCCGAGCACCGGCGGGGCGCGCCGGGCAAAAAAAAAACACAGGAGTCGGGGGTGGACAGAACCCCCAACAGTGACACGTCGATTAGTGAATTGTCCGTTTCCGGTTCTCGAGATGGCGCCGTGGCCGTTATTTTCCAGGCTTGCGCCCGCCAGGTTTGGGCCTCAGGTCGTTTTCACTAAACCACGTTTTACTAAAGGGGGGTCTGTCCATCCCCGAAGGAGGGGGCGCGAAGCGCGGGCGGCCGGGGGGGGTCGACGGGGGGGGAGCAACGCCCAGCCCATGAAGGACTCGGTGGGCGTGCCGTAGAGGTGCGGCAGGTGGGGGTGCCAGTGCAGCTCGGCATCGCTCGGACGTGTGCATTTTTCCTTCGGCGAGGACCATCGAGGAGCATCCTTGGTCATTTGGCGGAAAAACCACGCACGAAACCGAACAACACAAGGAATGGACGTCCGAGCGATGGCCAGGCAGGTGCAGGCAGCCCGAGAGGGCGCCACCAACGAAAGCCCCCAGGCGTGCCAAGGCTTCTGGGCGACCAGGGCTGAAAGGCGACGATACCCGCAGACACGCCAACGGCGATGCAGGTGACGGCGCTGCAGGTCTCGGTAGTGTCGGTGGGGGCTGTTCGTGGCCAACCCAACTGCAGGAACGGCTTGCTCGTTTCCACTACAGTTTGTTCTGCGCGAGTTCGGCGTCGCAGAAACCAGATTCCCAGCATCGCCCTTAATCAGCATCGCCGTTGGCGTGGCCTTGGGACACCCTCTCCCGCGATGGGGAGAGCCTGATCGATGCCGTTCGACGCCCAGCGCCAGGACGGCCGTGCTCTCGGCGGTGGGCGGCGTCGTTCAGATGTGGCTCTCTGCGTGCCCACCTGGGGCCCCAGGGTCCGCGTGAGGGCGTCGGAGATTTGGGCTCGAGGTGAAGAGGAATCATGGCGGTGGTGCTGCTGGTGCTGGTGCTGGTGCTGGTGCTGGTGCTGCTGGTGCTGGTGGTGCTGGTGCTGGTGCTGGTGCTGCTGCCGCTGACGCTGATGCTGATTCAGATGCTGATACTGCTGCTGATGAGGATGAGGATGAGGACGAGGACGAGGACGAGGATGAGGATGATGATCATGAGGAGAAGGAGGAGGGGTATGATGATGATCTCTATGTTGGTGATGTTGAGGTTGATGCTGATATTGTTGTTGCTGCTGATGGTGACGATGGTGGTGGTGATGCTGATGATGCTGATGGTGGTGCTGATACTGATGACGAATTCGAGACCTCTGGTGCTGTTGTGGTTGATGCTGACGCTGCTGCTGATTCAGATGCTGACGATACTGCTGATGCTGACGATGATGATGATACTGATCATGATGCTGATGATGATTATGATGATGCTGGTGCTGCTGATGCTGATGCTGATGATGAAGATGACAAGGATGATCACGAGGAGGATGAGGAGTATGATGATCAGGACGATGGGTAAGATGACGAGTTCGATGGTGATTATGATAACGACGATGCTGCTGCTGATGATGGTGGTGATGAAGATGATGACGATGCTGATGATGTTGCTGATGATACTGTTGTTGATGTTGTTGGTGTTGTTGGTGTTGTCGTTGTTGAGATCTCATTACTGAAGAAACACTGTTGCTGACCCCCCCCTCCGGGGCACATTGCGTTTTTTCAGTGCCCTTCCTGGGCTCGCACTTAGTTTTTTATATGAGGGGAAGTCTTGGGTGTCAGACTTCGGTTGTTGGCCCCCGCTTATATCAACAACAATAACAACAGCAACAACAACACCAACAATAACAACGGTTCCCGCCTGATACTTCCTCAGAATTTAATCCAAAATCTTGCTCTCGCGCGGGATTTCTTTACAATTTCTGCAGGAAGCACGCTCTCGCGTAGCTTCCTTGCAATTTATTCAGGCGTCGCGCCTCCAAGCCTTAGGAATCACGCTGTCGCTCGGGCCTTTCTCTTCATTTACTTGGGAGTCGCGCCATCGCTCGATACTTCCTCGCGATTCACTATTCGACCTGGCCGCCTAGGCCAGCTTCCCGACCCGCCCGTTAGGGTCTACCACCCGATCTGCCCGTCTGGTTCTGCCACGCGTTTTCTGCTCCTGGCCGTCTCCTGCTACTCTCTCTCGTGCTCCATCCTCCTCCCACCCCCTTGTCCCTTTCTTTGATCCGTCCTCTTTTCCCCTGCCTTAGGCGCTGCACGGAATACACGTTGCAGGTAAGAAGATATATACACCCAAGGGGGTACGATCGAAAACGAAGAGGGCAGGTATCCGTGGTTTCGGACATACGTGTTGAGTGGTATGCGAGCAAATGCGAGCACATAAGAGCGAACAGTGTTAACATGATTGTTGGACTCTCACTATTGAAGAATACTTGTTATTGATCCCACCTCCTCCGGTGACCATTCGTGTTTTTTGAGTTGAGTGCCCCCCCGGAGCTCGCACCCGATTGTTTATCAGAGAAATTCACTCGAGTCAAACTGCGATGGTGGCCCCCGGATTACAACAACAATTACGCTACCGAGGAACCCCACATACTCAACTTAAATATTGAGTGTTTGCTTAAGTTTATAATATATGTGCAATTCTGCGTTCTCAGCCCTCGTCGCGAATGTTCCCCTATGTGTCATCCAACGCCATATTGCTTGAACCTCCTCCCTCTTCCTAGCCTTCTATCCTCCGTCGGGGACAGATTCGAGCCAGCCAGCGGCCGCGGTGAGGGACCACCCCCTGCGCACCCCCAGTGGTGTCGAGAAAATGCCGCGCCTGCTATGCCCTGGACGACCGTCGTGCATAGCGGCCGCGGTGAGGGACCACCCCCTGCGCAGCCTCTATGGTGTCGAGAAAGTGCCACGCCTGCTATGCCCTGGACGACCGTCGTGCATAGCGGCCGCGCTGAGGGACCACCCTCTGCGCACCTCCTGTGGTGTCGAGGCTGCGAGCGTGTCACGGATAGAGGCCGCGCTGACCACCCTGCGCACCCCCTGTGGTGTGAAAGTGCCACCCCTGCCAAGATCTGCGCGCGTGTCACGGATAGAGGCCGCGCTGAGGGACCACCCTCTGCGCACCCCCTGTGGTGTCGAGAAAGTGCCACTCCTGCCACGATCTGCGAGCGTGTCACGGATAGAGGCCGCGCTGAGGGACCACCCTCTGCGCACCCCCTGTGGTGTCGAGAAAGTGCCACTCCTGCCAAGATCTGCGAGCGTGTCACGGATAGAGGCCGCGCTGAGGGACCACCCTCTGCGCACCCCCTGTGGTGTCGAGAAAGTGCCACTCCTGCCACGATCTGCGAGCGTGTCACGGATAGAGGCCGCGCTGAGGGACCACCCTCTGCGCACCCCCTGTGGTGTCGAGAAAGTGCCACTCCTGCCACGATCTGCGAGCGTGTCACGGATAGAGGCCGCGCTGAGGGACCACCCTCTGCGCACCCCCTGTGGTGTCGAGAAAGTGCCACTCCTGCCACGATCTGCGAGCGTGTCACGGATAGAGGCCGCGCTGAGGGACCACACCCCCTGTGGTGTCGAGAAAGTGCCACTCCTGCCACGATCTGCGAGCGTGTCACGATCTGCCACGATCTGCGAGCGTGTCACGGATAGAGGCCGCGCTGAGGGACCACCCTCTGCGCACCCCCTGTGGTGTCGAGAAAGTGCCACTCCTGCCACGATCTGCGAGCGTGTCACGGATAGAGGCCGCGCTGAGGGACCACCCTCTGCGCACCCCCTGTGGCGTCGAGAAAGTGCCACTCCTGCCAGGATCTGCGAGCGTGTCACGGATAGAGGCCGCGCTGAGGGACCACCCTCTGCGCACCCCCTGTGGCGTCGAGAAAGTGCCACTCCTGCCACGATCTGCGAGCGTGTCACGGATAGAGGCCGCGCTGAGGGACCACCCTCTGCGCACCCCCTGTGGTGTCGAGAAAGTGCCACTCCTGCCACGATCTGCGAGCGTGTCACGGATAGAGGCCGCGCTGAGGGACCACCCTCTGCGCACCCCCACCCCCTGTGGCGTCGAAGGAATGCCCTGTGTGGTATGCTGTGCTGTGCTGTGCTGTGCTGTGCTGCTGTGCGGTGAGCTGTGCTGTGCCGTGCCGTGCCGTGCCGTGCTGTGCTGTGCTGTGCTGTGCGAGAAGGAGAAGGGGAGGGGGGAGGTGTGAGACGCGGGTGCGGCGCGGCAGGGAAGAAAACCATAACCACACGAAACATGTGGGGAACAAGCGCTCCCGCCTAATACTTCCTCACAATTTAACCCCGCCCCCGCGCCCGTCTGAGACTTTCTCGGAATTCACTTAGGAGTCGCGCTCTCGCTTGAGACTTCTTTGCAATTTAATCAGGGATCGCTCTCTCGGCGCTCTGGAGTCGCGCTTTCGCTGGAGACTTGCTTGCAATCCATTCAAGAATCGAGCTCTAGCGTTGGAGCCCCTCGCTGCCCTTCGTGTCCCCGTTGCAGCCCTTCGTGGCCCCCTCGCTGCCCTTCGTGGCGTCATACATGCATGCCCTTCGTGGCTCCCGTTCGTTCGCGCCCGCCGTGGCCCCAGATGCATGCGCTTCGCTGTCCCGCTGTCGCCCTTCGTGGCCCCCTCGCTGCCTTCCGTGGCCCCGTTGCTGCTGTCAGTGGCCCCGTCCTTGCCCTCTGCTGTCCAATCTACGCATGCCCTTCGTGGCTCCCGCTCGTTCGCGCCCGTCGTGGCCCCATCTGCGTGCCCTTCGAGGCCCCGCTGTCGCCCTTCGTGGCCCCCTCGCTGCCTTTCGTGGCCCCGTTGCTGCTGTCAGTGGCCCCCTTGTTGTGGCCCCGCATTATTTGCCTTTCGCGGCCCCCGCTCGTTCGCGCCTTTCGTGGCCCCATACGCATGCCCTTCGTGGTCCCGCTGTCGCTCTTCGTGGCTCCCTTCCTGCCCTTCGTGACCCCGCTGTCGCAGTCTCTCTCGCTCTCGCTCTCGCTTTCGCTCGTCGTCGTCGTCGTCGCCGTCGTCGTCGTCGTCGTCGTCGTTGTTGTCATCGTCGTCGTCGTCGTGGTCGGTCCCCTGTCTGTCCCTCTTGGGGTCGGGTTGCCACCGATCAGCGCTGCCGCTGGCCAGGCCGACGGTCTGCGGCCGCCCCGCCGCTTGCCGGGGCCTGGCCTGCAGGGAACAAAGATACACCACCGGAAAGGGGCACGATCGAAGACGAAGACGGCGGGTATCGAGGGTTTGGCAAATACGCGTTGGATGACACTCGAGCAGATAAAATCGAACAGTCCTGAATTGAATGTTGTTGTTGTTGTCGTCGTCGTCTTTGTTGTTGTTTCTGTTGAACTCTGACTACTGAACATTTTTTGTTGATCCCCCACCTCTGGTAACATATGTGCTTTTTCAATTGAAGTACCCCTCCCGGTGCTTGCGCCCTGTTTTTTTATCAGGGGACGTCTCCCTCCTCAAACTGCGCCCCTGGCCCCTGGTTTACAACACAACGGCTCTCGGTCGGGATTTACTTGCAGTTGATCACAGAATCGCGCTCTCGCCTGAGACATCCTCGCTATTCACTCAGGCGGCACGCCCTCGCAATTCAGGAATCGCACTCTCGCTTGGGACCTCCCCATGATTTACTCATGCGTTGCGCTCTCGCCCGAGACTTCCTGGCGAACCTTGCAGTACTCACGCGTTCGCGTAACATCTGTGTTTTTTCAATGGAAGTGCCCCTCCCGGCTGTGTTCTCATCGGGGAAAGTCTTCCTGCTCAATTTGCGCCCTTGGCCACTGGTTTACAACAGTAGCGGTTCCCGCCGGAGATTCCCCCACAAGTTATTCCCAACGCGCGCTCTCGCGAGGGACTTGCTCATGATTCGATGCAGGAATCACGCTTCCGCGTGGCCCTTGCAGTGTATTCGGGCGCCACGCCTCGGGCACTTAGGAATCACGCTCTCGCAGTGGGTTTCTTTAAGATTTATTGGGGAGTCGCGCTGTCGCTCGAGACATCCTGGCGACTCCTGCAGGACGCACGGTTTGGCAACCCTCCTGCTCGACCCCGCCGTGAGGCCCGCCCGCCTTCCCGACCCGCCCGTCAGGGTCTACTCTACCCGCCCGATTTGCCCGTCTGGTCCTGCCACGTGTTTTCTGTTCCTAGCCCCCCTCCTATTTTCTCTCGCGCTCCATCTTCCTCCCTCCCCTGTGTCCCTTCCTTCCATCCGTCCTCTCTTGTCCTGCCTTAGGGGCTGCACGAAATACATACGTTGTAGGTAAGAAAGATGCACCCCGAAGGGGGTACGATCGAAAACGAAGAGGGCGGGTATCGAGGGTTTGGGATCTACGTGCTGAGTGGCACGCGAGCAGGGAAACGTGAGCAGTCTGATAATAATTGTTGTTGTTGATGTTGATGATGTCGTTATCGTTATCATTATCGTTGTGATTGTGGTTGTGATTGTGGTTGGTGTTGGGTGTTGTCATCGTTGTTGTTAATGGTTTTGTTGTTGTATTTGTTGTTGGTGTTGTTGTGGTTGTTGTTGTGGTTGTTGGTGTTGTTGTTGTTGTTGTTGTTGTTGTTGTTGTTGTTGTTGTTGTTGTTGTTGTTGTCGTTGCTGTTGTTGTGGTGGTGGTGGTGGTTGTTATTTTTGTTGTTGAACCTTACTACATTACGGAACAAATCCTATTGTTGGTCACCCTGGATTCGCCGTGGCGCTCTCGCTGCTGCTGATGGTGGGATATGAGAGGATAAGAGGCGGAGCAGTAGGAGGAGGAGGACGAGGATGATGGGAAGGATGGTGGAAACCAGAAGATAGAGCTTGCAGGATGGAGGAGGAGGAGAGGGAGGAGGAGGGTGAGGAGGCGGAGGAGGAGGAGGAGGAGGAGAATGGAGAAGGGAGAAGTACGCGTATGAAGCAGAGGGAACGTTGACTCTCGCCCACCTGCAGTGACTCGCCTCTTGAGCCATGCGGTGGCAGGTTCTCCTGGTGGCCAGGGACCTCTCCCACATCGCGGCCGGCAGCTGGCGACCGAGGCCCCCGCGACGACCTGGCAGCAGAGCACTCTGGTCGGTGCACTCGTGGTATGGCAGTCAAAGACGCCGCTGCTCTGCCGACGGAGGAGGAGGAGGAGGAGGAGGGGGAGGAGAAGGGGGGGGAGGAGGAGGAGGAGGAGGAGGAGGAGGAGGAGGAGGAGGAGGAGGAGGAGGAGGGTCACGCGTGCCGTGGTGCGGTGGGTGCGCGCCGTGCCGACGTGGTGGCGGCCCCAGCGCGTGCGTGCGAGGTTGAGTGCCGCCGCTGGCCCCAGACCCGGCCGGTCTTGGACGATCGACCTGCGCTGTCGGGAGGCCGGGGTCGCTCAAGGCGGATCGGTTCGCGTTGCAACAGATCAGCGAGCGAAGAACGGTATAAAATAAACATTTTCGCCGTCGGGGACACCTGCCCCTGGGCGGCTGGAAAGTGTATACCCCTACGGTGCCACCGTAAGGGTATAAACTTTCCAGCCGCCCTGGGGCAGGTGTCCCCGACGGCGAAAATGTTTGTTTAATACCGTTCTTCGCCCGTTAAACAGAGGCCAGCGCGCGGGTCGTCGCGGCGCGGACCCGCCGCTGCAGCAGCCCCACTGGAGGGCGGGCGGGATGGGGGGGGTCCTGCTGAGCCGATGTCTGGACGGTGCGCGCGATGATGTGAGTCACTGGAGAGACAAGGGGGCGCGCCGCTCGTTCCGCTCTCGGCAGCGAGCCGCGGCAGCGGCCAGCGAACAGGCGTGGGGAGCGCGCCTGGCACCCGTGGGCGAGGAGGGGGCAGGAGGAGGGCGGAGGGAGGGAGGGAGGTAGGGAGGGAGGGAGGGAGGTAGAGAGGGAGGGAGAAATGAGAGAAAGAGAGAGAGAGAGAGAGAGAGAGAGAGGACGGAGGGAGGGAGGGAGGGAGGTAGGGAGGGAGGGCGAAAAAGAGAGAAAGAGAGAGAGAGAGAAGCCACAACGACCACGACCGTCACGACAGCCGCCACTGCGACCGCGACCTCCACGACCACCGCCTCGACGACTACTCCCACGACATCCGCCCCCGCCCCCCGCCCGCCCCCCACCTTCCTGCTCCCTCTGCCTGGTCGCCCCTGCTTGCTGTCTCCTCCTCCGCCTCCTCCTCCTCCTCCGAGGAGGAGGAGGAGGGGGAGGAGGAAGAGGAGGAGGAGGAGGTGGAGGTCGCCCTTGACTCCTGGAGGTCGCCGTGCCGAGCTAGCGACAGGACTCTTCCATCTCGCCCCCTGCTGCTGCCTGTTGGCCCGCCTCTGTGCTGTCTTTCATGATATATATAATATATATAATATATATATATATATATAATATATATATATATATATATAATATATGTATACACATGTAGAGAGAGAGGGGGGGGGGAGAGAGAGAGAGAGAGAGAGAGAAACAGAGAGAGAGAGAGAGAAACAGAGAGAGAGAGAGAGAGAGAGGCAGAGAGAGAGAGAAAGGGCGAGAGAGAGAGAGAGCGAGAGCGGAGCTGGAGGAGGAGGAGGAGGAGGAGGAGGAGGATGATGATGATGAGGAGGAGGAGGATCAGAAAGAGGAGCAGGAGTAGGAGGAGCAGGAGGAGGAGGAGGAGGTCTCATCGTCCGGCGGCCTTCGTCCCATCCCACCGCTGGGCTTGGGTCGTGGACCACTTGAGGTCTTTTCCAATGCGAGATGGTTTGAGCAAGACGGATGTTCCAATGCTTGTTGGGCTTACGTTCTGTTTAAGCAGTTTTTTTCCCAATAGCTATCGTGGCACTTACATGGTCGTCTGAGACCGCCTCCCTCTCATCCCATTTTTTCATTCCTGGCTGGGCCTCTTGTCCGGTCGCGGGTGTGCGCGAGGCCTGGGGCATCTTGGGGGCCCGCCGGCGTTCTCGGGGCCATCTTGTCGCGGAGGGCTCCCGCGGCCCCGTCGACGCCGTCATCGGGGCCTCTTGGGGCATGGCTGGCTTGGGGCGTCGGGGACCTCCTGGGAAGTATTTGGACGACAGAGGCGACAGTGCCAGTTTCCATACAGGTGCAAGACCTTTCGGTGATGTTGGCCTCCGGACTAGGCCCTCGGGGCCTCGAAGACGGCCCAAGAGGCCACCCCCCAAATCCCAGGAGGAGCCCTGAGGCCGTCTGAGGGCGGGTGCGAAGCCTGGGCACCTCAGGCCGCCCCCGGAGTGTCACGCGACGCACCGTGGAGCGCCCAGCAGCGCTCAGCAAGCCCGTATTCGGCGGCGTGCGATCCGCCCCGTGGGTGTCCGCCGCGCTGGCGACGCACTCACCAAATTGCCCCGTTGCGAGGGTGACGTGCACGTTCGAGAGGACGGCTGGCCTCTTCGGCGGCCGACGCGCGGGCGGCGCACGGGCGACGAATGCGCGACGCACCTCCTGTCGCGAAGGGGGGGGGGTCAGCACGCCGGTCGCTTTACTGGGCCTTGACATCGAGGAGTCTGCTCTTTTGGCACGGTGCTCCCCAGTCGGAGCGCTTCGCCCAGCAGAGCGTGAGGACGGATCTCGCCTCTTTCGTATCCAACTGCCCGCGGCAAAGCCCGCGACCGCGCCTGTGCAGCATCGCGACAACCAGGAGGCTGAGTGTGTAGGAACGACACAATTCCGACGAGTGGTGTGAGCTGAGACGGGTCGTGAACCCAACCTCGTCTTCGATCGCGCGGTAGGAAAGTGGTCGAGTTCACGCCAAGCTGCAGTTCAGCGATCCGTCAGAATTTGGACGGGTCGTGAACTCGACATCGTCTTCGCCCTCACTGCAGGAATGAGGTCGTTTTCGCGCCCCGCTACATTCAGCGAGTGGACTTGACTGGAACAGGTCGTGACATCGACCTCGTCTGTGTACTCGTGGTATGGAGGAGGTCGAGTTCACGCCCCGCTGCAGTGCAGTGGTATGTCTGAGCTGAGGAGGATCGTGATCTCGACCTCGACCTGGTCCGCGTCGTAGGGCGGGAGGTCGAATTTACGCCACGCGGCAGTTCAGCGAGTGGTATGAACCGAGGTGGGTCGTGATCGCGACCTTACGTTCGGCCACGCGGCATGGAGGAGGAGGAGGAGGAAGAGGAGGAGGAGGAGGAAGAGGAGGAGGAGGAGGAGGAGGAGGAGGACCAGTGCAAACCCAAGAGTCATAAACGATGTTGGAATAAACCCTCCCTCCAAGCTCTCCCCCTTCATAGGCCCCTACAATGGTTCATTTCCACGGAGGGAACTGCCTCATTGGAAGACAACCGTTTGAAAACCCTGATGCATGCCAAACCATTATTCTCGGGACTCCGGCGCCACGGATCAACCTGACTGTTGTATCTTGACGATTTGAATGGTCGCGAACCAACGTAATTGTTGCACCCTCCTAATCTGGTGCCTTTGCAAAAACCATTTGTGGTAAGTAGACCATGGGAATGAGTGGAACTCTAGCACATGTTTAAAACGAAGGTGCGCGGCGCTAAGGCGAGAGCCACATTTTGAAAACCACCCGCCTTCAATCCGTGAAGCTCGTGCACATTTTCAACACGAACGTGCGCGGCGCCAAGGCGAGAAACACAGTTTGAAAACCACCCGCCTTCAATCGGTCAACCTCTTGCAGAAGTTTAAAATGAACGTGCGCGGCGCTATGGCAAGAGCCACATTTTGAAAACGACCCGCCCTCCATCCGTGCACATCTTAAAACGAACGTGCGCGGCGCGAGAGCCACACGTTGAAAGCCACCCGGCCTCAATCCGTGAAGCTCTTGCAAATTTTGAAAATGAATGTGCGCGGCGCTAAGGCGAGAGACACAATCTGAAAACCACCTGCTCTCAATCCGTGAACTTCTTGCAATTGTTTAGAACGAGTGCGCGCGGCGCTAAGGCGATTTTGAAGACGACCCGCCCTCAATATGTGAAACCGTTGTCAGTTTTTAACCTTCAGGGCCATACATGGTGAGGAAGTCTCAGGCGAAAAGCCCGGCCCGCCCTAAAAACTTGCCTCTGGGTGCGACAGGGAGAAGCCATCTATATGGAAAAGGAGAGGAGGAGGAGGAGGAGGAGGAGGAGGAGGAGGAGTAGGAGGAG